TTTTCTTGGACTGCAAGAAGGCCTTCGACACAGTTCCTCACAAGAGATTAGCACAGAAGCTAGAGGAACAGGCACGTATAACAGGAAGGGCACTGCAATGGATCAGAGAATACCTAACAGGGAGGCAACAGCGAGTCATGGTTCGTGATGAGGTATCACAGTGGGCGCCGGTGACGAGCGGGGTCCCACAGGGGTCAGTCCTGGGACCAGTGCTATTCTTGGTATATGTGAACGACATGATGGAAGGGATAGACTCAGAAGTGTCCCTGTTTGCTGATGATGTGAAGTTAATGAGAATTAAATCATACGCGAACTAGACAGGTCTACAAAGAGACCTGGACAGGTTGGATGCGTGATCCAGAAACTGGCACCTAGAATTTAACCCCGCCAAATGCAAAGTCATGAAGACAGGAGGAGGGCAAAGAAGACCGCAGACAGAGTATAGGCTAGGAGGCCAAAGGCTGCAAACCTCACTCAAGGAGAAAGACCTAGGAGTGAGTATAATACCGAGTATATCGCCAGAAGCACACATTAACCAGATAACTGCTGCGGCATATGGGTGCTTGGCAAACCTGAGAATAGTGTTCCGGCACCTCTGTAAGGAATCGTTCAAGACTTTATACACTGTGTACGTCAGGCCCATACTGGAGTACGCAGCACCAGTTTGGAACCCACACCTGGTCAAACACGTCAAGAAATTAGAGAAAATGCAAAGATTTGCAACAAGGCTAGTTCCAGAGCTAAGGGGAATGTCCTATGAAGAAAGGTTAAGGGAAATCGGTCTGACGACACTGGAGGACAGGAGGGTCAGGGAGACATGATAACGACATAAAAAATGCTTCGTGGAATAGACAAGGTGGACAGAGACAGGATGTTCCAAAGATGGGACACAGAAACAAGGGGTCACAATTGGAAGCTGAAGACTCAGATAAGTCAAAGGGATGTTAGGAAGTATTTCTTCAGTCATAGAGTAGTTAGGAAGTGGAATAGTCTGGCAAGCGATGTAGTGGAGGCAGGAACTATACATAGTTTTAAGACGAGGTATGATAAAGCTCATGGAGCAGAGAGAGGGAGGACCTAGCAGCGGTCAGTGAAGAGGCGGGGCCAGGAACTGAGTCTCGACCCCTGCAACCACAATTAGGTGAGAATTAGCTGAGTACACACACACACACACACACACACACACACACACACACACACACACACACACACACATGAACCCGTATGCGTGCTCACAGGCTTACGTTCGGAGAGCTCTGGTGAATTAGTTCCAAATGGTGAGCATTACAGGAGATCATGCAGTAATTGGTGAGCACAGTGTCCGCCAACAGCTACACGAACAGACAAAAGACAATCAATGGCTGGAAAACACTATGAAGGTGAAAATTGGAAAAATGATTTTAGAATGCATTTCATAGAAAACTGGTGACAATGATAGGCAGTGTTGCTGCAAATTTTGATGTTTCCTTTTTCTAGAATTAGAGTAAATACAAAAAACTAAATAAACAAGGAGGGGGAAGTCGGGATGTCAGTGGATACAGAAGGAACTGATGTTGGCTGGATTCAGACATATGATTAGTAAGAGAAAAACTCCATCATCTTTGTGAACAGATGAAGAAAGTATTGACAGCAGGAAAGATACAGGAGAGAAGGACAATTACTGATGAGGAAAATCTTTATAGCCTGAGAAATCTCCCTAAAAAGCTGAGAACCGGAGAAGAGATGAAAGAAATGAGAAGCGAGGCAGAAACAGAACCAAAGACAAGAGGTGGAAAGACAGAAGGAAAGGCAGAGGAGGGAAACAAATGAACCTTTGGAGTAATGCTCTCAGAGAATCAAGAGATGAAGGAGATGATACGAGGAGTTACAACTTAACTTATGACAAGAACTTTGTAAGGAAAGTAAATGTGACATTCCTTCAGCCTTCAGAAGATTGAAGGAATGTTGAATGATGAAGATATGGGATCCGAATGAAAGGGATTTTTTTAAATATTACAGAGGAGACACAGGTGCACAGGGTGGAAACTTTTCAGAGAATTAGAAAATATGAAAGGGACAAAATACGATAAAAGCGACCCTTTCAAAAGAAATGGCACGAGATCGGATCTTGAAATAGAAACAGCTGTTGAGGGGAAAAGAATAGTTCAAGAAAGGAAACATCTGAGGGAGAGAATAAGAGACCGTCCAAGACAGGAAGGGGAAAAACCAATGTAAAGAACAACAGGTGTGGAAGCTCCGAATCTAAGGAAGATAACATAACATAAGAAAGAAAGTGCACTGCATCAGGCCTACTGGCTTATGCTCGGCAGATCCAGTTCACATCCACCAACACTCACTCATGTACTTGTCTAACCTAGTTTTGAAGCTACCCAAGGTTCTCGCTTCAATGACGCTACTCGGGAGTCTGTTCCACCAAGTTTAACCCTCCTATCAGGAAGTTCAGCCTCCCTCAACCTCCAGCCTCTGCCCTCTTAAAAAACAAACTAAAAAGACACTCTCTACCCATCCATCTTTCCGCCTACACCCTCATTCCTAACCCCTGCCAGGACAGGACTCTCACAACCACCTTTCATTCCAACTCGAACTGACACTTTCACCAGATCTCCATCCTCTTCGTTCTCATTCCAGTGGAAAAACTATCCCCACAACAAGACCTCACTCTTATCCCTAACTACCACCTTCCCATATATCCCACCTTCTCCCCTGACAAATTGTTGAGGACCAGTAGACTAGGAACCTGAAGACCAGAGCACAATAACAAAGCGGAAATAGAGTGTGGAATACAAGTACTTGAAGAATAACAAATCAGGGTGACGAATGGAAAGAGCAGAGATTGGAAACATCCCCAGAGGTAGTAGCAGATGTGATCATCTGCTATCACCTCCAGCGAGACTGGACCTTACATTGAACCTAGACGACTCTGGTGACCCAGACATTCCACATGAGAAGCCCCTCGGTGCTAGCAACCAAGCAGAACCCAGAACTGAACGCCTTGTAGAAGTGAACGCGGAGAGAAGCAAAGAACATGAAGTGACATACCTGACTTATAAGAAGACTGTGCAAGCCTGAGGCTGTGCCCTAAGGAGCCACGGGAACAGAAAGATGGAAAGACAAAGAACGAAATGGACTAGGTAACGAGAAAATGCCGGGAAGTAAAGGAGAAATTCATACCCAGAAGGAGACGAAGCACAGGAAAGAATAAAGTGGTAAAAATGGTAGAATAACCTACAAATGTTAGATAAATGGACACAGATGCATCTAATGTGACATTTTACTGTGACAACGTTTCGCTTGCTAAGATCCTGGAGAGGGAAACGTTGCCACAATAAACTGTGTCTGTGTCCCTTTACCTAAGAGGAACAAAGTGAACCAAGAGGGACAGACAGACTAAACGTAAAGAGCAAGTAGACAGAAGAAATATAGACTGCCTAGACTACTGGAGAATATGGATGGAAGTAGCAGAGCAGGAAACAAATATCCGTGGGTAAGGAGAGAGGCGGAATGACAAACTGAAAAAAAAAATATAAAATCGATAGCCAAATCTGTGCCAAAGCTTCAGTACAGCCACAGAATGAAGACAACTGTGATGGACCAAAGGATATTGAACTGGAGGGATTGGGCAAGTGTGGTGAGTGAGGCTCAACAATGATCAATACCTGGAAATCACAGGATGGGTCAAGCTTGAATTCATGGTAAATGAGTCCTAAGACTCAGAGGCCAGTGCGTTAATCACTGAGCCAGCTGGCTCTAATGGGATTAATCCAGCTAGGTACATTTCTATAGAGGTTAGCAAGGGTGATGGACTGATTATAGCGTCTTCACGTCACTACTGATCCTGCCTACTTTCTGTACTCAACTGAAGAAGCCTACTGTGTAGGCGAAACGTTTCGGAATAAAATTGCCTAACAGTTTCCTATGTGTCTTACCAACCTGTTCGTATTGTATACCATTTTGATATTCACTTAGTAAAGAGTTATTCACGACACTATATTCGGCATTTGTCAGGTCTAGCCTGCAGTGCGCATCACCAGTATGGAAACTACGTTAGATAAAGTATGTAAAGAAGCTGGAAGAATCGGAATGATTTCAAGGAGAGAAGATCGGAAGCTAAAGAGTACAAGCTATGATGAGAGATTATAGAAGCTAAGCCTGATGATATTAGAGAATGACCAGGATGACATGATTACCACGTAAAATAAATATTGAGAGGGATTAACAGGGTGGACATGGCAAAGCTATTTCAGAGACGTGTTCCAGGTGCTCGGGGACACAGACGGAAGTTGAAAACGCCGATGAGTCGCTGGAATGTTAGCAAATACTTTTTTAGCCTTAGAATTGTCAGGAAGTGGAACGGCTTAAACAGAAAACTAAAAAAACAGGAGCCATACATTGTTTTCAGCTTAGGAAATGTCATGGATCACGCAGAAGACAGAGTCAACAGCAGCCAGCAGAGAGGCGGAACCAGGAGCGGAGATTCGACCCCTATGTTTTTCTCTTTGATGAGTTCCGAGTTTTTCTGGCCGTGGGCTAGGCTCGTCTGGTGCTTGCCTGGTCAATCAGGCTGTTCCTGCTGGTGGTCTGCTGACCCATATATCCATCACAGCCTGGTTGATCTGGCACCAAGTGAAGATATTGGTCTAATTTCCTCTTGAAAGCTACAGAAATATGAAAGAACACACACACACACACACACACACACACACACACACACACACACACACACACACACACACACACATACACACACACACACACACACACACACACACACACACACACACACACACACTCACACACTCACACACACACACACACACACCACACACACACACACACACACACTCACCACACAACACACACACACACACACCACACACACACTCACACACAACACACACACACACACACAACACACACACACACACACACACACACACACACACTCACACACACACACACACACACACTGTTTAATAACACATACAAGGAGTGAGACTTACGTTGTGATACCAGAGGACCTTGTAAACGTAGGGATGAGCTCTAACGTTGCACTCGAAGTAAACATCGTCTCCTTCTTTTATATCTTCTGGACTAAGGTTGCTGCCCATCGCTAGGTACACTTGCGGGGTGTCTGTGTCGAGATTAAACAAAACATAAATATACCTTAAACTACACTTGAGGAATAAACTAATAACGTGAAGTTGTAGCTAGATTACGTTTTGGCACGATTTTCACCTGTATTGGTGAGTATACCTGAAGTATACCTGGAGTATACCTGGAGTATACCTGGAGTATACCTGGAGAGGGTTTCGGGGGTCAACGCCCCCGCTGCCTGGCACTGTTTAAAGTCTTTCAAGAAAGAAAAGATCAAGAATAAGTTTGATTATGACACTTTTGGGTTAAATTTACGTAACTTAGTACTATGTAACATAGATAAATTAATTTGATTTGTCGATGTTTCTATTGAATTTTTGTTTGTTTTTGGCAACCTGGACATTGCTTATAAAGTCTGAAGTTGTGTCTATGAAAACATATACACTAAAGGAGACATAATACCAAAATACAAAATACAGGGAAGATAGACTGACTGGCAAAAACAATAATTACAGTGATGTTAGGACGTATTTCTTCAGCCACATTGTGATCCTGAAGAAAAACTTCATGTATAGTTTTAAGAGTAGGTATGACACAGCCCACGAGATTAGTAAGTAATGAATTTGCAAAAAGAATGTTGAGATATAGGGCCAGGAGCTAAGTTTCTACCCTTGTAATTCCATATAGGTAAGTACACACACACGCATGCGTGTGCACACACCAACACACACACACACACACACACACACAGACATACACACAAGGAGTGGACCTAGTAGTGACCAGGGAGGAGGGGCCGGGAGCTATGACTCAACTCCTGTAACCACAATTTGGTGAATATTACGTAAGTACACAACTGGAGAGGAGGTGACGAAGCTATGTGATCCACACACCTCGTAGTTGGTGAGACCAGATAATTTCTGTCCGATGGTCCTGAGAGAGGGGCAGAGGCGCTGTGTGCGCCACTAACAACAATCTTCAACAAGTCTATAGAAACAGGGCGATTGTCAGGTGAAGAAGACAGTAAATGTAGTCCAGTTTTATTAAGAAAAGAGACATACAATCAGCATTAAACTACAGAGCAGCGTCACTGATTAACATAGTATATCAAGTAATTGAGAAGATTATCAAACGAGTGATGGAGCACCAGGAGAGGATTAAGTTCATATATAACCAAAATGGCTTCAGGGATGGAAAATCTTACATCGCAAACTTACTGGAGTTTTACGACCAGGTAACATAAACAAGACAGGAGAGGGATGGGTAGAAAAAAGCTAGAGGAGCAGGCACGAATAACAAGAAAAACACTGCAATGGATAAAGGAATACCTGACAGGAGGGAAACAACGAGTGATAGTCCGTGACGAGGTGTCAGAGTGGGTGCCTGTGTTGAGTGGGGTTCCACAAGGATGAGTCCTAGGGCCGGTGCTGCTTCTTGTACATGTGAATATGACAGAAGGGATAGAGACAGGTGTCCCTGTTGGCAGACGATGTGAAACTAATGAGGTGAATGCAAGCGGTCGAAGACAAGGAAAAGCTACAAATGGATCCGGACAGGCTACAAGTCTCTAGCAAATGAGTCATGTAGTTTACCTCCAGCAAGTGCAAAGTTATGAAGCTTGGGGAAGGACAAAAAATACCACAAACGGAGTATATGCGCAGGGGGTCAAAGGCTGCAAACCTCACTCATGGAGAAGGACCTTGGAGCATTATACCGAGCAAATACCCTGAGGCGAACATCAACCAAATAACTGCTGCAGTATATTGACTCCTGGAAAAATCTAAGAATAGCGTTTCAAGATCTAAGTAAAGAGTCATTCACGACACTGTACACCGTGTACGTCAGCCCCATACTGGAGTACGTAGCACCAGTATGGAACCCACACCTGGTCCAGCATATCAAGAAATTGGAGAAATTGCAAAGGTATGAAACAAGACTAGTCCTGAAACTACGGGATATGTCCTACGAGGGGAGGTTAAGGAAACTCAACTTAATGACAATGAATGAAGACTGAAGCTTGTCGATAAAGACCTTTATCACTGAAGTATAAATGTTAGGCTCTATCCCTGGGAACAGAAAATACCCACAGCGCGAATAAACTAAATAATGTAGATCTAAATCAAACTGAATAAGAAAACAACTTAAAAGTTGTGTTTACCAGGAATCTAAAGCCATGACAGTGCATCAGTGTGTGTGGTGAAAGTGATAAAGAATAAATAATCAGAATACCGTGACTGGAACAATACACAAATAACCCGCACGTAAGAAAATGAAAATTATGACGATTTTTCGGACCGAAATGTCGTTCGAAAGTATGTGCGAGTTACTTGTGAAGATAATAACATTGTTAGCTTCTTATCAAGAAGTGTAAATAACATTAAATAACAGTAAAGTGAGGTTATACATCAGTTTAATATAACGTCGTTTATATTCTGCTGCTCTGGGATCCATAATACAGATTGAGCATAAATCAGCCGGAAAATATACAAAGTAGAACGTCTAAGAGGATCCCTTCCATCAGAAATCTTTCCTACGCAGATAATCTGAAGACACTGGAGGCGCACTATGGACGGCGTGTATCTGGGGGTGTTATGTCTGAAGTATGCAAATGGAAAACCAGAATAAATAGAGGGGATATAATAGGCTCAATCACCGACACAGAGTGCAGAGACTCCTCTGCACTCTGTGTCTTATTCACCTTATCTAGGTTCGTTAGTGATTATTTTCTGGTCCTCGCTTACACACACACACACACACACACACAACAGTCTTAATAACTTACACTGAACGTCCAGTTTCCACAGGTCCTGCACTGGCAAGTGATCAATGACAGGAGACTCCGCCAAACACTTGAGAAATTTGCCTCCGTCAGAGTAGCTGGGCACCAGCAGCAGTTTACTTAGTGTGATGTTCCCATTACTCGCCGTCTGTCCAGGAGAAAGTTACATCTATTAATGATTCCCAGGATCATCTCTTCTGCGCCGCGGTTTGAGACATTGGAAAGGTAATAATGCAAGATTAAAAACTGCCAAGAAATGAGCAGTAGAGGTAGTGTTTGAGGCAAGATTTATCTATCAGCTGACCTATTTATAAGACGAAAAGATCAACAATCTACCAGTTTGCAAAGAATTTAGTATGTTGTCTACCCACCTCTACTTCCTTTATATATAGAACTTAAGGGTGAAATTAATAAACAAGGGTGAGAATGTAAATTTATAATTATAAGAGAAGTGAAGATTTAGGCATAAACAGAGAAGACAAGGCGAAAAGTAGACAATTTAAACATGAAAATTAAGATTACAAGGAAATTGTCTTTCAATATATCTTACTGCCACTCAGTCTCTTCAGTAACATTTTTTGTTGCATCTCTAAATATTTCTGTTATTTTTTAATACTCTCTCTCACTTCATTAACTCCCGCCCCGACCCTCTCTCCCTCGTTACCTCCCTCTCTCCCTCGTTACCTCCCTCTCTCCCTCGTTACCTCCCTCTCTCCCTCGTTACCTCCCTCTCTCCCTCGTTACCTCCCTCTCTCCCTCGTTACCTCCCTCTCTCCCTCGTTACCTCCCTTCTCCCTCGTTTACCTCCCTCTCTCCCTCGTTACCTCCCTCTCTCCCTCGTTACCTCCCTCTCTCCCTCGTTACCTCCCTCTCTCCCTCGTTACCTCCCTCTCTCCCTCGTTACCTCCCTCTCTCCTCGTTACCTCCCTCTCTCCCTCGTTACCTCCCTCTCTCCCTCGTTACTCCCTCTCCCTCGTCTACCCCCTCTCTCCTTGTTACCTCCCTCTCTCCCTCGTTACCTCCCTCTCTCCCTCGTTACCTCCCTCTCTCCCTCGTTACCTCCCTCTCTCCCCTCGTTACCTCCCTCTCTCCCTCGTTACCTCCCTCTCTCCCTCGTTACCTCCTCTCTCCTCGTTACCTCCCTCTCTCCTCGTTACCTCCCTCTCTCCCTCGTTACCTCCCTCTCTCCTCGTTACCTCCCTCTCTCCCTCGTTACCTCCCTCTCTCCCTCGTTACTCCCTCTCTCCCTCGTTACCTCCCTCTCTCCCTCGTTACCTCCCTCTCTCCTCGTTACCTCCCTCTCTCCCTCGTTACCTCCCTCTCTCCCTCGTTACCTCCCTCTCTCCCTCGTTACCTCCCTCTCTCCTTGTTACCTCCCTCTCTCCCTTGTTCCTCCCTCTCTCCCTCGTTACCTCCCTCTCTCCCTCGTTACCTCCCTCTCTCCCTCGTTACCTCCCTCTCTCCTCGTTACCTCCCTCTCTCCCTCGTTACCTCCCTCTCTCCCTCGTTCCTCCCTCTCTCCCTCGTTACCTCCCTTCTCCCTCGTTACCTCCCTCTCTCCCTCGTTACCTCCCTCTCTCCCTCGTTACCTCCCTCTCCCCTCGTTTCCTCCCTCTCTCCCTCGTTACCTCCCTCTCTCCCTCGTTACCTCCCTCTCTCCCTCGTTACCTCCCTCTCTCCCTCGTTACCTCCCTCTCTCCCCCCGTTACCTCCCTCTCTCCCTCGTTACCTCCCTCTCTCCCTCGTTACCTCCCTCTCCCCTCGTTACCCCCCTCTCTCCCTCGTTACCTCCCTCTCTCCCTCGTTACCTCCCTCTCTCCCTTTTTACCTCCCTCTCTCCCTCGTTACCTCCCTCTCTCCCTCGTTACCTCCCTCTCTCCCTCGTTACCTCCCTCTCTCCCTCGTTACCTCCCTGAAATTACTCCCTCCCTCATTCCCAGCCCCGACCCTCTCTCCCTCGTTACCTCCCTGTATTATTCCCTCCCTCATTCCCAGCCCCGACCCTCTCTCCCTCGTTACCTCCCTGTATTATTCCCTCCCTCATTCCCAGCCCCGACCCTCTCTCCCTCGTTACCTCCCTGTATTATTCCCTCCCTCATTCCCAGCCCCGACCCCTCTCCCTCGTTACCTCCCTGTATTACTCCCTCCCTCATTCCAGCCCGACCCTCTCTCCCTCGTTACCTCCTGTATTATTCCCTCCCTCTTTCCCCAGCCCCGACCCTCTCTCCTCGTTACCTCCCTGTATTACTCCCTCCCTCATTCCCAGCCCCGACCCTCTCTCCCTCGTTACCTCCTGTATTATTCCCTCCCTCATTCCCAGCCCCGACCCTTTTCTCCCTCGTTACCTCCCTGTATTATTCCCCCCTCATTCCCAGCCCCGACCCTCTCTCCCCGTTACCTCCCTGTATTTTTCCCTCCCTCATTCCCAGCCCCGACCCTCTCTCCCTCGTTACCTCTGTATTATTCCCTCCCTCATTCCCAGCCCGACCCTCTCTCCCTCGTTACCTCCCTGTATTTTTTCCCTCCCTCATTCCCAGCCCGACCCTCTCTCCCTCGTTACCTCCCTGTATTATTCCCTCCCTCATTCCCCCCCCGACCCTCTCCCCCTCGTTACCTCCTGTATTACTCCCCCCCCTCATTCCCAGCTTCGTCCCTCTCTCCTCATTTACCTTCCTGTATTACCCCCCTCCCTCATTCCCAGCTCCGCCCCTCTCTCCCTCATTACCTTCCTGTATTACTCCCTCCCTCATTCCCAGCTCCGTCCCTCTCTCCCTCATTACCTTCCTGTATTACTCCCCCCCCTCATTCCCAGCTCCGTCCCTTTTCCCTCATTACCTTCCTGTATTACTCCTCCCTCATTCCCAGCCCCGTCCCTCTCTCCCTCGTTACCTTCCTGTATTACTCCCTCCCTCATTCCCAGCCCCGTCCCTCTCCCCCTCGTTACCTCCTGTATTTACCCCCTTTCCCTCATTCCCACCCCCGTCCTCTCTCTCCTCGTTACTCCTGTATTACTCCCTCCTCATTCCAGCCCGACCCTCTCTCCCTCGTTACCTTCCCTACTACTCCCTCCCTCATTCCCAGCCCCGACCCTCTCTCCCTCGTTACCTCCCTGTATTACTCCCTCCCTCATTCCCAGCCCCGTCCCTTTCTCCCTCGTTACCTCCCTGTATTACTCCCCCCTCATTCCCAGCCTTCTTCATTACTTACAGAAACTGTAGCGTTGGTGAGCTGGACACCATCCAGCCACCAGGTGAGGGAGGCTGGAGGTCGTGCTCCCACACTCTGACACACCAGCTCGTACTCCCTGCCAGCCGAGATGGCCTCCCGGGAGGCCAGGATAATCACAGACAGAGGTTTAACTGCAATAAGAGAAAAGAAAAACGGAGGAGAAATGAAACAGCAAAATCAATTTACAGACCGCGGTTCGAGCCCCTTGTCCTCCCTTGTGTTTATTAAACGAAAGTTATTTATTATAACTTAATTTGAGTTCATAGCAAATTTGTGAAGATAATAACATTATTTTCAGAGTTCTGGCCACAACATTATGCCAGGTCACATGACCTTTTTATCTGAAATGCATAACAAACTATTATTATTATTATTATAATCAAATAAGCAAGCGCTAAACCGACAAGGGTCATGCAGATAACAAACCAACAATGAGGCGAGGGTCTTAACAAAGCTGGCGAGACGTTATCTACGGGACTTAACAAAATTTACTCTAAGACTTACTAATTTGTCCCTCGAAAGCTACTCTTAATAATGGTCTCCGATTTACCATGTCGTACGACCCTTGAGGGTTTACCGCTTAAATGGATTATATTATTTTTCCCTCTACCCCATTTATCGGCAGCTTCAACGTCTTCACGGGTCTGGATAAGTCTCGAGTGAAGAATAACTAATTAGAATGAAACAAGGAAAGATTAGCAGTGATTCGTGACGATCAGCCGCTTCCAGTAGTCTGCTCGTCAAACCTAAAATACTATTCTAAGCCTACTTTCACCTAGAAGCCGTCTTATTGGACTGCTAGATTATCTAACATGACAGAGAAAAACGTTTTTCTTGTCCACAAGCCTCTTAGAAAGAAAGCGAGTAGTTTCAGGATAGTATTAGGGAGAACAAGAGAAGCTGGGAATGAAGGAGATACCAAAGGTGTTATCTGGAGGAGAAGCAGAAATTTGAGGCATCTTGGTACCAAGTAAATTAGTCTGACAAGGCGCAAGTCTGTATCCACACGACGGTAAGTGTTAGAGGATTTTCTGAATTACAACTATAAGGGGATCACTGTATAGAGGTTGGTAAGGTAATGAGTCTAGTTGAGAAGACAATTAGTTAAGCTTGAGATTAAGCCGAGTTTATGAAGTTAGGAAGATTGTTAACATGAAAGTGTGAAAAGTAAATTATAAGCTCTAATGCCGGGATATTAAGAGATACATAGAGATAAGCAAAATAATAGTGTTCACGGAAGGAAAAGTTCAGACTTGTACAGGTTATTGTACAAGTCTTGTACAGGTTACTGTACAAGTCTTGTACAGGTTACAGTACAAGTCTTGTACAGGTTACTGTACAAGTCTTGTACAGGTTACAGTACAAGTCTTGTACAGGTTACAGTACAAGTCTTGTACAGGTTACAGTACAAGTCTTGTACAGGTTACTGTACAAGTCTTGTACAGGTTACTGTACAAGTCTTGTACAGGTTACTGTACAAGTCTTGTACAGGTTACAGTACAAGTCTGCTGTAAACAGTAAAAGAGAAACTACGGAAGATGTTGTATTACGTAGATTCAATTCAACTTAAAGTTGCGTCTCGTCAAATTAACGCACCTGTAACACTGATACAGTAGACTGTTGTGTCCAGAGCACTGGCTGCTCCCTTTCTGACAGACTTAAGAACACAAGTGACGTGTTCACGATGATAACGAAAATAATGCTGGTTCTTGCCGTGGTGGTAATGGAGGAGCACTGCTGAATGACTACTGACATACAAGACAGGCATTATTCACGCTCGAGAGTTCCCATTTAAACAAGTCTCTAAAGTGCTATTTATAAGTTCACTACGTCCCATTTATTACGCCCCTCTCTTCTTCACATTCACTCTTTACTGATTACCCTTAATTTACCTCCCCTTTGCGTTCTTCCTGAACGCATTCCTTTCTTGCTTCCTACATCTTCACATTAATGTTTCATTCACAGGCTATTGTAGTGTACTCTGATGATGCTGGATGTACAACTGTTATTCCTGAATGAATAATTTAAGACCATTTACTAGAATAGGTCAGCGTTTTCACAGCAGTTATGTAGAATTCTTACTGCTGTCTTACACACAGCATCGATGTTCACCTCGTCATTCCGAGTTGTCCAGATTCCCAAAATGCAATACTGGTTATCCAGAAATTTGATTCACCTCATTCTGTCTTCCGTCGTACACAGCTCTGGCTATGTCGCATTTCTAGTAAACACACAGATGTCGTTTATTGCTGAGCTCCTGGACACACTGATGTTTCTGGCCAATAAACAAGCTAACTAAGTTTCTCCTTCAGTTTTTAATCACTTTCCAATTTCCACATAGCGGTATTTCTTGTTATTCCTTTCTCGGATTTCTTTTTTTAGGAATCCCTCAGAAACTGCACAACACTGGTTTCAGTTAGACCACAATTTTTTTTTTTTTTTGTCAAGCAACGTTTAGGGTTTTCTGGGCATGTTGTTCCCACCGCTGTTGTGTTTGGGAGACTTCTCTCTCTCTTGTTTACATATTGGACACACGTGACTCACTCGCTGATACCTCATGGATAAAACACCCGACACCTTCTGGCATGGAGTGTCAGCCCACTCTTCCAGTCCATCGGGTACACAAAATGTCTTCTGCACCAACACACTCTCTCTGACTCACCTCCACCCAAAATTCCACCTTTGACTCTCTCTCTCTCTCTCTCTCTCTCTCCTCTCCCCTCTCTCTCTCTCATCTCCTTCTCTCTCTCTCTCTCTCTCTCTCTCTCTCCTATCCTTGACTTTTTAACCCCACCTAACCCCAACATAACCTACCACGAGGGTAGACCCCGGTCGAGGTCTCAAACCCCCAGACCCTCTCGTTAGCCACTGGACCAGCTAGACACAATAAGTTTCGTCCAACTAGGTATATTTCTACACCATAGGAAGGTTAGCACAGGCACCACTGTGACCACAAATGCAAGTTTTTACAGACGAATCTCCAGCTAGCATGGCCGTGACGAACTCTAGCTCAAGTCCTCTCAAAGCCGTAAACATGACTCACGAAATCGTAATGACACGATTGCAAACAAACCATACCACTGGCGGGGATAGAACCCGCGATCAGAGAGTCTCAAAACTCCAGACCTATTGCACCAACTTCGAGTCACCACTGGTGCCACCCCTGTCTCCACTAACCTCTATCCTCACACTCACTCCTAACCTTCACACATTCCACCTCTCGCACATCGCGTCTTGCAGCGATGTATGACCCATTCGGGTTTAGAGCTTAAATTGGTTATTTTATCATTATTATTATTAATCAAGAGAAAGACTTTCAAATAAGCCATTTCTTCTTCTTTTTTTCCTTTACCATCATCTAAATTGTATGTAAATTACACTGGAAGACATTATCCAGACTTTATGTATTGTAGTAATGACACGACAGTATTAAGTAACACTACACAGTATCTTAGTAAAGTAACACTACACAGTATCTTAGTAAAGTAACACTACACAGTATCTTAGTAAAGTAACACTACACAATATATTAGTAAAGTAACACTACACAATATCTTAGTAAAGTAACAGTACACAATATCTTAGTAAAGTAACAGTACACAATATCTTAGTAAAGTAACACTACACAATATCTTAGTAAAGTAACACTACACAATACCTTAGTAAAGTAACACTACACAATATCTTAGTAAAGTAACACTACACAATATCTTAGTAAAGTAACACTACACAATATCTTAGTAAAGTAACAGTACACAATATCTTAGTAAAGTAACACTACACAATATCTTAGTAAAGTAACACTACACAATATCTTAGTAAAGTAACACTACACAATATTTAGTAAGTAACACTACACAATATCTTAGTAAGTAACACTACACAATATCTTAGTAAAGTAAACACTACACAATACTTAGTAAAGTAACACTAAAACCATATCTTACTTAAGTAACACTACACAATATCTTAGTAAAGTAAAAATACACAATATCTTAGTAAAGTAACACTACACAATATCTTAGTAAAGTAACACTACACAAAAATTTAGTAAAGAACATTTCACAATTCTAGTAAAGTAACACTACACCATATCTTACTTAAGTAACACTACACAATATCTTAGTAAAGTAACACTACACAATATCTTAGTAAAGTAACACTACACAATACCTTAGTAAAGTAACACTACACAATATCTTAGTAAAGTAACAAACACAATATCTTAGTTAAAAGTAACACTACACAATACTTAGTAAAGTAACACTACACAATATCTTAGTAAAGTAACACTACACAATATCTTAGTAAAGTAACACTACACAATATTTTAGTAAAGTAACACTACACAATATCTTAGTAAAGTGCACAACACAAATCTTAGTAAAGTAACACTAAAACAATATCTTAGTAAAGTAACACTACACAATATCTTAGTAAAGTAACACTACACAATATCTTAGTAAAGTAACACTACACCATATCTTACTTAAGTAACACTACACAATATCTTAGTAAAGTAACACTACACAATATCTTAGTAAAGTAACACTACACAATATCTTAGTAAAGTAACACTACACAATATCTTAGTAAAGTAACACTACACAATATCTTAGTAAAGTAACACTACACCATATCTTACTTAAGTAACACTACACAATATCATAGTAAAGTAACACTACACAATATCTTAGTAAAGTAACACTACACAATACCTTAGTAAAGTAACACTACACAATATCTTAGTAAAGTAACACTACCCCAATATCTTAGTAAAGGTAACACTACACAATATCTTAGTAAAGAAAACACTAACAATATCTTAGTAAAGTAACACTACACAATATCTTAGTAAAGAAAACACTACACAATACCCTTAGTAAAGTAACACTACACAATATCTTAGAAAAGTAACATACACAATATCTTAGAAAAGTAACACTAACACAATACTTAGTAAAGTAACACTACACAATATCTTAGTAAAGTAACACTACACAATATCTTACTTAAGTAACACTACACAATATCTTAGTAAAGTAACACTACACAATATCTTAGTAAAGTAACACTACACAATACCTAGGTAAAGTAACACTACACAATATCTTAGTAAAGTAACACTACA